ACTGTACTAGAAAGCTTTTCCCTGCAAGTCGAATCGTTTTTCAATCATTCCACAAATATTTATTGAACATCTCTAGAGCGCTGCAAAGAAGAAAAATAATTACTGCTCTCTGAGCCATATAGCTCAGAGCAAGGAAGTAAAACACACGCATATATGTACACACACACACACACACACACACACACACACACACACACACACCCCAAGATCATTGCAGATCATGGCCTATATCATTAAGGGAATACACCTGAGTAACAATAGCAAATAACCAGGAGATGCTTTAGATCAGTAGTTCCCAGCCTTTTGGCCATCAGGGACTGGTTTTGTGGAAGACAACCTTTCCATGGACCAGAGTTTGGAGGGGGGTGGGGGATTCTTTTGGGATTATTCAAGCGCATAACATTTATTGTGCACTTTATTCCTTATTACATTGTAACATATAATGAAATAATTATTCAACTCACCATAAAAAAAGAGGTGCGGATGGAAGTGGTAAATAAAATAATGGGTGGACCACGCACAGACGAAGTGTTGGATTCTGACTTAAAGCCTACCACTAGAGCAGTTGTGCAATTGAAGTACATCAACTCACTTGTCACTCACGGATAAAGTTTTGATATGAGTCTTCAAGTAACTTATTTATTATGGTTCTCTGTGTAGTCAAACCTCACTGCTCATGTTATTCTGTATTTGGAGCCGTTCCCCAGAGCTAGCATCACTGCTTGAGCTCCACCTCAGATCATCAGGTATTGGATTCTCATAAGGAGCTCGAAACCTAGATCCCTCATATGTGCAGTTCACAATAGGGTTCACACTCCTATGAGAATCTAATGCTGCTGCTGATCTGACAGGAGGCAGAGCTCAAGTGGTAATGCAAACAATGGGGAGTGGCTGTAAATAAAGACAACACTTTGCTCACTCACCTACTGCTCATCTTCTGATGTGTGACCCATACCAATCTGCAGCCTGGGGGTTGGGGACCCCTGCTTTAGATAATATGGTCCCTCAGCCTTCCAAGTAGTTGGAACTACAGGCACGCATTAAAAAAAAATAGGTCAAGAAAGGCCTTCCTGAGGAGGTTACTTCCTTTTAGAAATCCCAATTGAAGCTGGCTTAAATAGTGAGGAAATGTATGGTTCATATAACTCAAATCCAGAGACAGTGTGGCCCTCAGGACTATCTTTTTTTTTGTTTTTGAGTTGGAGTCTCACTGTCGCCCAGACTGGAGTGCAGTGGCCGCTCCTGGCCACTGCAGCCTTGACCTGCTGGGGCTCCGGTGATCCTTCCGCCTCAGCCTTCAAGTAGCTGGAACTCGCTACCACGCCCGGCTAAATTTTTTGATTTATTGTAGAGATGAGGTCTCGCCTGCCCAGGTGGGTCTCGAACCCGCGGGCTCAGGCAATTCACTCACCTCAGCCTCCCAAAGGCGTGGGATTACAGGCTGAGCCACCGAGCCCGGCTCCTCAGGACTATCTTAAGCCCTTGGCACCAACTGTAATTTTCTTAGGTCTACATACTTCTGCGTGTCAGTTTCCTTTTCAGGATGGTAGTGAGGTCCCTGTAATGGTTCTGGGGAGAGAGATTATCCACACATCCCTGCGTTCTAAACCATATCCTGAGAGTCACCCCGATTGCACTGCCCAGGTCACATGCCCATCCCTGAACCAGTGACTGTGGCCCAGGAGAATGGGATATGCTGATTGGCCTAAGCCAAACATGACCACCTTGGCAATGGAGCTGGTCCCAGCTTCTAATAATTGAACAAAAGCCGGGCTAGGTGGCTCAGCCTTTGGGAGGCTGAGGTGAGTGGATTGCCCTAGCCCGTGGGTTCGAGACCCGCCTGGGTAGCGAGACCTCATCTCTACAATAAATCAAAAATCAGCTGGGCGTGGTAGCGCGTGCCTGTAATTCCGGCTACTTAGAAGGCTGAGGTGGAAGGATCGCCAGAGTCCAGCAGGTCGAGGCTGCGGTGGCTGGGAGCGGCCACTGTACTCCAGTCCGGGCAACAGAGTGAGACTCCAACTCAAAAAAAAACAAAAACAAAAACAAAATAATTGAACAAAAAGTACATGTACCTTTGGGAAGGGTAATGCCCTTACTGGGTGGGCATTCAGAAACTTTTTCGATAGGAGGTGAGATCTGAACCGAACCTCGAAGGATGAGAAGATGGTCTAGCCAAGAGCTGGAAGAAGAGCTTTCTAGGCAGGGGAACAAGGGAACACCATGGTGTGGGGAAGGAAGCCAGTGTTCCAAGACATGGTATTCCAGTGGAAAAGTGGCTCACAGTAAGTGTAGAGGGGCAGGTGTGAACATTGGGTTTTGGTTAGCTGCATTTGCTATAAAATATGACGATCATTTTTGGATCAGAAGAAACAACATTTTATATATTGTTCCTACATCCTGGTTGCTAGCAGACAGGAGAAAGTCACCTTACTTTTGTGTATACCTTTTCACAAGTCTCAGTTCCCTGCACAATTTCCCTATGCATTCCTATTTTTAGATGATCATTCTAATAAAATGTAAAATAAGGACAAAGCAGGTTTTAGCAAAACCAATTAACTTTTAAAGAATAAATTTCATGTTGATATATAAGAAGAAAACAGAAATATTTTGGTAAGCAAACACTGGAAAAGACTCAAATGAATAAGGTTTCAGACATCTAAGCATTCATGATGCACAGACATTATAGGGAAGCCAACAAAATGCATCTTGATTTAGAACAAGTTTTATACAACTCTGGAATGCTCCGGCACCTGGCATTATGCTGGTTGTAGAGAAGGCCACTAGCAATGATTCACCCCAGAAGTTAAAGGCCATGTGCACGTTCATGAATCTTTATCTATAGGTCCACTGCTTTGTCCATCTCTTCCTCCTTTCAAGGAAGCCTGTCACAGCTACTTAAATCTACTGCATATTATCTCTTTGGATGGCATTTTTGCTTGGTTTTTCTCTTAATTCTGTATTTTTGTTTTATATTGCTGTTCTTTGGGAGCTGTCTGGTTCTGCTTCCAACTTTTAGGACCCTCTTGTTCTTGAATGAATATTGAATAAAACCCAATAACTGCAATGGTAGCTGCCAGTAGACAGAATAAATTTATCTTAATTCTGTGTTTACCTTTAGATCCATAATTATAGAACAAGGATTTGTAGGGATTGTTTTTATTGGTCTAAGTTTCATTCTAAAATTTTTGACACGATGATGGAAATAGTGTGAGAAATTATGCATGTGATAAAATATGTAAAGTAATAAAATGACAAAAGAAATTTTTTAAGAGACAGTGTCTTGCTATGTTGCCCAGGCTGGACTTGAACCCTTGGGCTCAAGAGATCCGCTTGCCCCAGCCTCCAGGGTAGCTGGGACTACAGGTGCAGGCCCCCGCTAAGAATTTCAAAATAGTAGTTCTTACAACTTTTTGTCACTCACAAGTGTGCTAAACAGTTAAAGTGAATTGATTAAATAAAAGGGAACTACAACTCAGCAACCACAACAATATGAGTTAAGATTAAAGTTCTCATACTGACGTTCTTTGAATAGTATTACTTGTATTGCAACATTTCGTTGAATGTTTCCCATCATACCAGATGTTTTATTTACATCTAATCCTCCCAAAACCCTAGCAAAAATAGGTATTATTTCCATTTTGCATTTTAGGAAACTGAGGGCAAGAGGAATTTGCCAAAGGTTACACAGACAGTACATAGGTGATATTACATAATAATGATATCTGTATCATTTGTGCTTTGTATTCATTTTCCATCATTACATAAATACTATGAGGGGAACACAGGAAGGTTTAGTAACGATCTCAAGGTCCCACAGCTCACAAATTAAGAAGATGAACCAGGACTCGAGCCTATGAAACCTGACTCCAGGAGACCCGGTGCTCTTCCGATCTACCGTATATAAAGCACCTTAGTAGGAGGTGCCAGGATTTGAACCCGACCCAAATCTGTTTGGCTCCAGAGACTGAGAATTGCCCCTTTCTCCTCTAAGTACAACAGTTTCCTCATATAAACTGGGGAAAGCCGACCAAATAACCTCAAATAACCTTTCTGTTCAAAATTGCTATAACTCTATTGGATTTTAATATAAGGTTTTGATATGTAAACAAAGTGGGGGGGCGTGGAACCAAGTCTATGGGTAAGCATCACAGAAATAATTATAGCTAAGTTTATTTCCAAATTTAAGACAACAACCCTTAGATAGCTACTATGACCGTACCCACTTTTTAAAAAAATACTGTAGAGATGAGGTCTCGCCAAGTTGCCCAGGCTGGTGGTGACTGTACCCACTTTAAAGGCGAGTCCACTGAAGGAAGTTAAGTCACGTGTCTAAGGGTCAAGGCCACCGAAAAAGGCACTCCCAACGGACACGCACTAGCAGCCTGCCTGACCTTGCCTTTGACCTAACCTTGCTGGACAAGGAGAACTGCCGGCCATCCCCTTTGGGAGTTCGATTGTTTTAAACTCGAGGTCCTCAGCCCCCATCAGTGGACACACTTCTCCAACAGCACGTCTGGACTGAGCTTCTTTGCACGTGCCCAACTCACGGGGACCTCGGCCACCTCGAGCAAACCCAGAGAGACACAAAAGGGGAGGGAAGACCCGGCAGTATCAGCAGCACAGCGGCACCTTTTCCTCCCCTCTGCGTGTCCCTTTTCCCGGACACGAGCTAACGGGGACATCGCTTTTCAAGGACAGAAGCCCAAGCTGCTCCGGGTACCCCAAGCAGAAAACAAAAAACAAAAACCTTACACGCTGCACTAATTCACGGCTGGGAGGCGGCGGGGTCGGCTTCCACCAGACGCACCAAAAATAAGCAGAAAGCGATGGATGCCACGGCCAGCCTTCCAAATGACGTCACAACCAAAAAAACACCTTCTTAAAAAATAAAAAAATAAGTAAATAAAGCCACCCCGACACGCACATTGCATTTCACAAAAAGAACATCCTGCCGGCTGATCAATTACAGGATTCCCGGACACACGCCCTTGGTTTACGACGAGCGGTCTCGGCGGACGTCCCCTCCTGCAAGCCGCAACGCACCGGTTGTCCGGGCAATACACACAAGAATAGAAGCAAATCCAAGACGCACGAGCGACATGACGCTCGCGGCCTGAGAACGCGCACACCAGCGCCAGAGCCAGCCCAGCCTCTTCCGCGAGCTCCTCAAGACAAAGCCGGGTCCCAGCATGCACCGCGACCAGGACTACATATCCCAGCGTGCAAGGCGCGCACGTCTCCCAGCCGGACTACGATTCCCGACATGCTCTCCTGACAGCCGCCCTGCCTCCCCAGCGTGCCGGGGTCCGGGGGTGGTTTCTGCACAAGCGGGGGCTCTATCTCCATCCGCGGAGCCTCCTTTTAGGGTCTAAGGGTCGGACACGACCACCCAATAACAAGTTGTGGATGCTTAGAGTTTTTCAGTCATTCTTCACCGCCTGTTTTCTTAGGGTAGCCGAGAGCCCCCGGCCGGAGGGGGCGGGGCCGGAGGCGGGTCAGCTCGGCCTTCCCGTCTCCACGGCGCTGCGGCGGCCTTCCCGTCTCCATGGCAACGGCGCCGTGCTCCGGGGAGCCCGCCGCCCATTGGACAGAATCTTTCCAGAAGGCTCGAGAAGGCGGAAGCGGAAGTGGCACGTGGAGGGGCCGGCGGAGGCGCCGGTGAGTAAATGCCGCAGATTCTGGAAAGTTCTGATCAGTGCGATACATAAGGCTGAGGAAGTGGAACCTCCCCTTTTGGGTCAGTAGTTCAGCGGCGGCGCCGGTGTGCGAGCCGTG